CTCCTCTGTCCTATAGGGTTGCTATGAGTCAGAATTGACTTGCCGGCAACAGGATTTATTTTTTATTTTTTATTTTTTATTTTTTATTTTTTATTTTTTATTTTTTATTTTTTATCAGTAGGTCAATGAATAGGGTGACCATATGTCCCAGTTTACCCAGGACTGTCCCAGTGTATAACGGTAATCTTGGAATAATTATTATCAGTGACTTTTTTTCACAAGTGCCCTGCTCTGAGTGATAAATTATATGATCACCCTGTCTAAAGATGAATCACACATGTGGGTTGTCCTTAGGGCAAAAAAATTTACCTTGTGCCACATAACCTAAGATACACCATAAAACAAAACAAAGAGTCCGTCTAATCCATTAGTGTTTAATTTAATAGTAACATAGGAGGATTACAGGTTAATTTGGTAGGGTGGGGGAAAAGATTTCTGACTGACTTACCATAAACAGGAGTATTAGCAATCTTCTAATATACACTAGTGCTTAAGCGTCCAAGCTCTGATTTCAGTATATGTGGGTTCAAATTCCAATTCTACTGCTTCTTAGTTGTACAATTTGGGGCAATTTTTTTTTAACTTCTTTGAGCCTCCATTTTCTCATCTGTTAGAAATGAATACCAACAGTACTTATGGGCTTCCAAAAGGTATTAGAATAGATATAACTTCTAATACAGTGCCGGGCATGTAATAAATACTAAGTGTTGGCTACTGTTATTATTATATGGAGTAAAAGCTTTCAGTGGTTGTATTTTAGTTTTCTTTGATCCTAAGCAGCAAATAGTTGCTCTGTAGGGTAACTGATTAATTTAAAATTTCACACAATTGACTAAAAGTGGATGAAACTGCCTAACTTCCATAGTGTTTAGTAATCTGCTCCTAATGTCATCTATTTTATGTCATTGTATATTGTTAATTAAGTTCATTGAAGAATGTACCAGATCCATAGTATAATCTCCACTATTTTTATTGTCTGCATGATTCCCTGAATATAATGGGTAATCAGTAAATATTTTAAAAAACAATAAATAATTGAGTACTTTGAGACACTAAGGAAAATAGACTTTGGAGACTTCATTTGACAGAATTTCTGTCACGCCATTATTGAGTGGCAGAGTGAATAATTAATGAGATTAGAGCCTTCACCACTACGTAGCTTCACCAGTTAAAAGTTGCCAGAGTGCAGTAACTTTTAATAATAAGGTATTTGGAATTTCAACTTTTGTAGAAATTTAAAACTAAACTGTAGCTATGATCTAATGCAATGCCTTGCTTAACAAAAAGGAAAAATAAATCTCAGGTAAATTAGTTGCTAGAGGCAATATTAGAACAAGGTCTCTTAACTTCAACTGTAGAAATATTTTGGCTTTTTCTTTTATTGTATGTTTGTGTTTAATCATACTGACATGACTTGAAAAAAATCTAATTACTTGGTATTATCTTCTATAATAAAAGTAAGACCTAGTTTAGAAGATTCCTTGGGATTCTAATTATTATATATTCATTTTTCACATATTTATAATAAAAGTTTCACCAGTTTTATAAAGAAAATAATTACTGGTAAAGCCTTGATGCTTTTATTATTAAAAAAAAAAAAAAAGGAGCTCTGGTTGCACAGTAGTTAAACACCTGGCTGCTAACTGAAAGGTGGGCAGTTTGAATCCACCAGCCACTCCATAGGACAGTTCTACTGTGTCTTATAGGGTTGCTGTGAGTCGGAATCAACTCAAAATGATACTGTTTTATTTAAATAAACTGCAGAACTTCTACTATCTCCTGAAAAATATATTTATTTCCAGGTTATGTCCAAATAGTTACAAAATAACTGGCATAAGGAATGCAAAAAGCACTTTTTTTTGTTTCTCAAGAAAATAACGCTTCACCCATTATTTGCTAAAATTCTTTATTCTAAGTTATTTTATTTACAATAATCCTGAAAAATAATGTGTTACCTCAGTTTGCTCAGGTCTCTGGAGTTTGTTATAGGAGATTGATCAAAAGTATAGGGAATAGTCTGTGGCTGATTACTGAACTTATATCTGAGATATGATAGATGACCTTCTTTATCACAGCAGAATGAGTTCATCTATTACAAAGCATTTAATATTCTTTTGGTATCTCAGATATTGTGATGACTTTCAAGATCTACAGAAATTTTAGGAGTAAATACTAAAATGGTAGTATCATATAATCTTCACCCCCCTAAAAGTTTTTAATTTAATTATTTTGAATTTTCCTGAAAATATTTTTTAAGAAACATGGTATCTTTATATAATTACATCCATTCTATACAGTAATATTAAAATTAAAGCTTTCATGGGAGAAAGATTATGTCAAACAGTTATTCCTCTCATGATAGTTTTAAATTCTAAGAAAGCTTGAAGTATTATCTGATTTTGGATCACAGAAAGTAAACTTGAAACATTCAGATTCTGCAAAAGTTAGAGGAAAAATTGTAACATACCACCTGTTCTTTAATCTACTATTTGCAGAAAGCTGAGAATTTATCAGATACAAAGAGAGCACTATGCAGAAATATTTACAAAATAAAATGGAGAAAGATTACTTATCTGTAAAGTAGGTTCATATTAATGACACACATACATAATAATTCCATTATTCTGTCAGCAAGCAAGCTATTTGCATACATGGAATGTGATGTTTCTTATTGAACATGACATATCAATGAGCCTAATTTTAAGAGATTTACCATCTAGCTAAAACAAAATAGATGCATTAAAATATCTTATCAAAGATAAGAAATAATACAAATTACAAGTGTTAAATACAGAATTTACATTGTTGACCAATAGTTTCCAGTTTGGCTGAACAGCAGTATTACCTGGATACTTTTTTAAAAATGCAGATTCCTAGACCCCACATCAGTTTATGGACTTAGAAATTCTTGGCTTTGAAATCTGTAATTTTAAAATATTTCTCCACGTAATTCCAAGGTATAGCCTCACATATATGGATATGTGGCTTTAAACCACAAATGTTCCATAAATATGGCATAGGTAATTGGGAAAATTTTGTAAGACTTCATGAAGGAGATAGACTTGAACTTGTGTTTTCAAAAGAAGCAAAGCATTTTAGACAGGAGTAATCCACCCAGAGGCACCTTGGAAATGAGGCCTGGTGATCTACTTCTAAAAGATCACAGCCTAAACAAAAAATATCCCCTGAAGTCATCTTAAAACTAAACAGTAGTTCAACTTAACTAGTAAAAAAACATCTGCCTTGAGCATTATGCTCTTTTAAGAACTATCTATATGGGATCAATGGACAATATCAACTCGAAAGATTAGATAGGAACCTTAGGGGGTAGTGAGTTTATGTTAATGAAGGAGAAATCACTCAGAAAAGAAGGGTAAGAATGGTTACACAACATGTAGAAACTGTTGAATTCATGTATGTTTCACTGTGCATATTCTCAACAGCAACAAAACAGGATCAAAGCCGTTGAAAACCCTATGGAGCACAGTTCTACTCCACATGGGGTCGCCATGAGACAGAATCAACCCAACAACAACTGGTTGTTTAATATTATGAACACAACTGTAGAGGTGGTAATAGGAATTGTGTGGACATGATTAGCTAGTATATAATAGAACCAATGATTCCTGAAGAGGAGTGGTGGAAAATAAATTGAAGAGGTAGATAAGTGACAGCCTGAGAATATTAGGATGTTGTGCCTGATCTTATAGGCAGGGGAGAACTTAATAACTAAAGGTTTTTAACCAAAGAGATTATACATATAAAGCAATTTTGAATGGAAGATTGGGGGCTAAAGACAAAGTGAACAGTTTATACTATTGCAGTAGAACAATCCTGAGGTGATAAGGGCCTGTGTAGAATGCTCCTTGTGCGAATGGAAATAAGAGATGAGAGAGACCATGATCAAGAAGGAAGAATTGACACCAAAGAGAATGCAATTCTATGAAAGAATTGGTAAGATACAGGAAAGAAAAAATTAAGAATCTTATGTCTGTATATCTAAAAGGTAACAATCAGAAGCATCTATCAATTTTCAAGTAAAATATTATACACCAAGATCATTTCTTTAAATATTTCTACTGATAGACTTAATAAATCTCTTTAGCCAAGTTTGGCTAAATCTGTAAGGTGTAGAAAATAATGTGGCTAGTAAATAATCATTTTCAGAAACTCAAACATATTCCCTCTCTTGCATATAATTTTGATAGTATAAAATAATTGCATTCTCTTAGTCATATTAACATCAGTTTGTGATGCAAATTAAATCTGGTAATATACATGGATCCAAGAGACTTCTGTAGTAAAAGACCAATGCATGTTAAATATTCTTGGCAACATATCTTACAAATAAAGGCAAACTATAGTTAGCTGAAATGCAAGGAATAGATTAAAAGGGCATGCTACTAGAATAATCCAGATTATCAACTATTTTTAATAGCACAATATGGATATCATTCAACCGACCAAGAAATCAGTTATTTCAATAACACATCAGGTTGGTAAACCATCTTGGTATTAGTTGATAAACATTTTAACATGGCCAAAGCAAATGAAGCAGATGAATAGATAGATTTTAACAAGGATACAGCTCCACAATTGGGTATATGCAGACTCTTGAACATCAATAACTAAATTAAAGAGTAATGAACTAATTATTTTTTGAAAATTAGGTATTATAACTTTGAAAATTAAGTCTGCCTGTGTGCATTACTAGTGTCGTTCACCATTTGACACTCTTTCCCTTCAAGTTACACTCTCCAACTTTCACTATTCTTTTCTCCTATGTCCTTTGTTACCCAAAGCTTTGCTTTAAATCAGCCAGAGGTTTTGATCAGCATTGTGCCCAAGTTATGAACATCAGTGTTTCCAACCCATGTTTTACATCAACTCCAGATGCCATGACTCATGTTCCATATTTAAAAATATAGAGAAAGGTGGCTCACAAACTGGAAGAAGGGAAGCGTAAGAAGGAATTTTAACAAAACTTTCATCTCTCCTAGTGCTCCATTAGCTGTGGTAAGGGAATGCAGTCCCGTGTTATCCAGTGCATGCATAAGATCACAGGAAGACATGGAAATGAGTGCTTTTCTTCAGAAAAGCCTGCAGCGTACAGACCATGTCACCTTCAGCCCTGCAATGAGAAGATTAATGTGAATACAATCACATCACCCAGGCTGGGTAAGCAGACCACAAACGGGAATGGTTTTCAGAAACATACACATGCTTTTGGCTTCTCGTATTTTGCATATTGCTTTAATACTTGAGAGTTAAAAACCTATACCAGTTAGTTTGGTTCTCACTAAATTTGATTTATTTAAATGTATCAAACCAAACCCTCTGCCACCAAGTCAATTCCAACTGGTAGCGACCCTACAGGACAGA